ATTTTTATAAAATTAATCATTTTAATAATAAAAAATAAAAATATTTTAAAAAATATACTTATTTAATTTTAAATATGTTTTTATTAATTATTTAATATTAAATAATAATCACTGATTATTATATAATCAAATAATTATATTTATCGAATCCATTATTTATTATTTATTATCTATTAACCATCACTCACTACTTATTAATACCATTCATTAGCTATTATCCACCGTCAATTGAATCTTAACCGTTGTTACCAGACACACACGGGTTCCTCAACCGGGTAAATATGAAAGTGGAGCAGGCCGCTTTCGAAGTGCCAATCCATCATCCCATCTGCTTGTAGGAGTCACGTCGAGTGAGATGGCTCATGCATCACCGTCACGTCAACCCACAGGCATCGATTTCTCATTCGTTGTTTAACGTCAACCCACGCAGGTAGCGAGCGCAGCACACCGTTGTCATTGTAGAATAATAATAATTATTATTATTGAGATAATATTTGTTCGTGTTATTTTTTAAAAAATAATAATCAAAAATAAAAAATATTTTAATTTATATTTTAAAAATAAAATATTTTAATTTTTTTAATAATTATTTATTAAAATGACATAATTTTAAAATAACATTCTTTTTAATATTTAAGAAATAAGATAAATAAATAATATTCTCATTATTATTATTATTATTATCTTTTGTATTTAAAATTATGTTAAATTTTAATTAATGTAAAGATGAGGCATATGAAAATTTATAAAAACTAATTTTTTTAATACTTATTTTTTTTATTTATAAGATCCATACTTGAATTCTTACTTAAGTAAATACTATAAGCAATCATTAGGATTTAAAATTAAAAAGGGGCACCATTATAAATTATAAAAAAAAAGTTAAGCAAAATGAATTATTTAACAATCATGATTTTTCATTATTTAGATAATTTATAAATTATAAAAAAAAATATTACAAAAACAATGAAGAATAAGAAAACATCAATGAAAAAACTTGAATATATACAGATAAAAAAAATTAATGATAAAAGAGAAAGAAATTAAATTAACTTTACTTCTATTAATGAAATTATCTAGGTTCTATGACTCAATATGTAAAATACTCAAATCTTGAAATTAAAAAATAAAAAATAAAAGAATAATAAAAACAAAGCAGTAAATAGAAATTGAAAAATAAATGTTTTATAAATTGATTCGAACAAAACATTAAGGCTAAAACCTTTTTAGAAACAAAAAAAAAAAAAAAACTTTGTGCAAATAAATTAAATTACAAATTGAAATAAAACAAACAAAACATATCAATTATATAAATCTAGATTTGGAGGGGATTAACATAGTAGTACTATGAAACTTAAACCCAAGACTAAAACATTTGTTGACAAGGTTGACAAATAATCATAGAATAGGGATAAAATAAGATCAAAAGATTTTTAACATAAACTCATAACAACTTGAAATTAAGGATGATTCTTCTTGTCCACCAATAAGAACTAATCAAAAGACTAAAGTCTCTCATTTAAACAAATTAAAAATCAAACAGTATAATCAAATAACAATTGTAGTTAAAAAATTAAAAGTCAAATAATTAAATAATTAGTAATTGATAATTAAATTAAAAGTCAAATAATTAAACTTGAAAATTACTTTTTAATATTTTAAGGTTCAAGCCCTTATATATAATCATTTGACAAAACTTAAAAATGTATTTGATTTAAAAATAAATTAATTTTTTTATAAAATTTAAAATTTTATTAAATAAAAATTTAAAGATTTATAAAAATAAAACCTACACTACACAACCCTCAAAAAATGCTGAAAATTAATTTCAAAAGAAGTTTTAAAGTGTAGAAAGCTGGATTGGATTGACGAATCAGTACTGGGCTCAATTATACGAACTAACGAACATATTTATAGCCAGGCCTGGGTCAAGAATCTCTCTAAATAAATAAGTGGCCCAGCTCTGTTTTTAGAGTGGTGTAGGCCTGTAGGGTACTGTACAATTGGATGGCTCACAGCTGCTGCTGACACGATTTACAGGACAGAGGATCCCGATTGATGTAATAAGCCATTTAGCCAGGAAACTCCAACACGACACGGAACGGAAGTGTGTACGGTCCAGGGAAACAGGCCAATTAGCCCGTGCCAGGGTGGGTGGCCTCCACCGTTACCCACTACACGGAACGGAAATGTGTTTTTTTTT